ACAAGACTCTGGCCTTATTGGTCTTCATTGCCCTTAACTTCATCTTTTAAAAATAAAGTTTTTATTGAAACCTTATGTTTTTTATATTGTTTCATTTCCTCCCATAGCCCTCCTCTCCCCCTTTCTAGGGAGTCACCTTATAACAAAGATTTTTTTTTTTTAAAGAAAAAGGAATAGGAAAATGAGCCAAATGGCCCACACATTGAAACAATCTGAAAGTACACATAGTGAATGGGGGAGGTGCCTTCTCATTTCTTCTTGGGCCCAGGATTAGTCTTGGGTTTTACAATGTAACTCCCTCTTAATTGATTCCTGGGATTTACTTATAGAGGCAAAGCAACACATTTGAGCTAGAGACAAAGACAGCAAAACAGTGCCCATCCTCAGGGCACTTCCATTTCACTGGCTAAGAATTTTGTGGGGTTTTTGGTGTTGTATAGTCATACCTGACTCCTTATGACCCCATTTGGGGTTTTCTTGGGAGAGATACTGGTGTGGTCTGCCATCTCCTTCTCTAGCTCATTTTATAGATGAAGAAGCTGAGGCAAATGGTGACTTGCCCAGGGTCACACAGCTAGTGAGTGTCTAAGGATTTGAATTCAGGTCCTCCTGACTCCAGGCCTGGCACTTTGTCCGCTGTGCCCAGCTAAGAATACACAGATGAAGAAATTCAAAGTACTTTGGGTGGGGATGGGGACTATGCAGTAGGCAGTAGACTGAGTCTGGCCATTTGAGGGTGGAGCGTGATTGCTGTGAAGTCATCAGTCCAGAAGGAGGTTGGAGCCTGGATGACGAAGGGCTTAAAATGTCTCTTTTCTACCGACTTCGAAGGATCCATCCTTTGGGTTCACTCCGAATATACTTGGTATCTGGGTTCAGGTTTTCTCCAGTAGAATGTCAGCTCCTGGAGGGCCGATTCTCTTTTGTACCCCAGTAGCTGGCACACAGTATATACACGTTAGTTGAATTGAAATGAATTGAGCTCTTTCCTTCACTTTCACTCTCATCACTCATTCTGATTGTCTCTGAAGCTCCGAAAGCTCCCAGGGCCTAGCCCTGGGTGCTGAGGGATTGCTGACTCATTCAGGGGACCTGGTCACTTCCCCTTCCGGGGCAGCAAGGCTGTTGGGGCCCTTACTGTGCCATCCTGCTGTGGGGGAGGGGGTACCACCCTCAGACCTTGGCCTCTTTAGATGAGTTCATTGTCCCTTAATTAGCTGTAATCAAAAGTGAGAAATGTCGACTAAGGGGCTGAATGTGCTCATAGGATTGTCGATTCTGAGCGGGCAGGTCCCTTAGTTTACCAGAGGAGGAAATGGAGGCCCAGAGAGAGAACAGGAGCTACCCGAGGCTGTACTGAGAAGCACAGCTTCCAGAAGCAAGGTCTCTTCCTGTGCCTGCCTGGTCAGATCCTGCTGAATGTTGGGTTCCGTCTTGGATTTGGGGATTGTCCAGAGAACAGCAAACAAGATGGCAGAGGCTGAAAGCTCGTCTCATTGGTGGAACTGGGGCACGTTTAGCCTGGGGGGAGACACACAATAACCAAGATCCAGTACTGAAGGGCTGTCTTGTTGAGAGGGACAGCCCTGTCCTTCGGGGCCCGAGAGGGCCCCTAGCAGCAGTAGGGAAGAGCCAGAAGCAGACTTGGGCTCTAAGCCAGGGAAGCCTGACAATGAGAACTGTCCCGGAGTGGGGCGGGATGGCTCCAGAGGCGTGGGCTCCTCCTCACTGGAGTTCTTCCCGCAGATGCTAGGGGACCTTGTTGTAGAGTGGCTCCTGAGACAGTGACTGCACTAAACAAGGGAAGAGAGGTGGAATCAGCAGATCTGGGTTCAAGTCCTTGCTCTACTGCTGACTACTTTGGGAAAAGTCATTCCCTTCTCTGGACCTCAGTTTCTTCATCTGGAAAATGGGAGGATTAGATTAAATGGTCTCTTAAGGCTCCTTTGAGCTCTATATCTCTGCTCCTAGTGGTGGGTTGGGGCTGGATGGCGCCCAGAAGACTTCTGCAACTCTCACGTTTCTGGGATTCTGGAAGGCGTCTGTCCGTGGAGCCTCAGTTTCTGACTCTGTGTGTGTGTGTGTGTGAACACATCCACAGAGCCTCTTAAATCTCTTACTGGGGACTAAAGCAGGAGAGCAGCCGGTTTGGATTATCGGAGTCTGAATTCTCAGATTCATTTGAACGAGGCTAAGCCTCCCCACGCTCATCTCACGTTTACAATCTGTCGTTGCACTCTCTGCCTTCACAACAGCTTTCAAATATCTCCCCTTGTCTCCTGTGCCATGGGGGCCACCTTCTCACCTCGTGCCTGGACTGTTACTGTAGCTGGTTGATTGGCCTCTCCCCACTCTAGGTCAGCGGCCACTCAGCTGACTCTCTCTCCCTCTGCCTCCATCTGTGGAGCCGGGCCAGAGGAGTGAGGGGGTGGGGGAAGGGGGATGAGGACAGCACCAGTCCCTTGTTCACTGTGTGACTGTTTTCAGGAAAGCCAGACTGGGACGGGAGCCAGGAGAAGCCAGTTTGCTGTGATGAGCTGTGGGAGGTTTTTTCCCCCCACCTCTGTCCTTCTGTCCCGAGCTGTTAGACGTCGTAAGGCAGCTTTCTGCTTGCTCTTCGGGGCCAAACCTCACCACCCCACTTCCGTTGTTTTGAGACAAAGCTCAGGGGACTGCCCTCCTCAGTAGCCTGCCATGCAATGACCTTTCCCGTCTAGCTCCCTAAAGTCATTAGCAGCCTCCGCTCGGAGGCTGGCCCCCGGGTCCCAGGTAGAGTGAAGTCATGGCCACAGCAGGCAGGTTGTGATTGGCATATGGAGCCAGAGTGGCAGAGCTGGAAGGGCAGGGGCCGTTGAGATCATTGAGCCCAGTGCCTTCATTTGAAACACTGAAGCCCAGAGGGGTCACATAATACATTAGAGCACCTTCCTTCCCAGCCCCAGGCATGATCTACCATGACCACGTTGTGACAGCCTCCTCAGGCAAGAGGATGGGAAAGGAGTCCTCTGAGAGAGGGAGACCAGGAAGGGTTCTGCCTTGCCCGCTGCCCTCCCCCTCCCAGGCTCTCTGCTCTTTGCTTCCTGTGCTACCCTGATGGGAAGCCAGGCTGTGATCTTTGCAGGATAGGGAGGGGAGGGGAGAAGAAGAGAGGGGAGGGAGAAAGGTTTCTCTGAGGCTGTTGCCTTGGGGATGGGAGCCAAGGATGCAGCTGCCAGAGGCCCCGGGCAATGGCTGGCAGCCAGGAAGCACGGGTGCCCTTGAGTTATTTCCCTGTCTTTCACCCATAAAAATATCACAGATATTCCAGGGTCTCAGAGCCGCGGAGACAGCCGCCCCTCCTGAGCTCTTTGGTCTTAGGGTCCAGTCAGAGAGTCTTCCTCCCCCAAATGCCCAGTGCTATGACAGATGGGCGAGTGGAAGGCGTGGTCCCTGACCATAGGCAGCTTATTGTCTAGTTGGAGAGACTCACACCCCAAGGATTTTTGAGGAATGGCTGGGGGAAGAGAATTCTGGCTCTGCTCCTTCCCGTGTGGCCTCGAAAAGTCACAGAGCTGACTTGTCTCCATCTCCGGGGGAAGGAGGGGGCTGGATGATCTCAGCCAGGGTGACCTTGGTCAAGTGACTTCCTCTCTTTCCTCAGTTTCCTTCTCAGTGAAATGTGGAGGTTGAACATCTAGTTCAACCAGGGTCTGTCTCACTGAAGGTCACTTTTTCCAGTGATGCAGATGCCCATCTGTATGTTAATACAGAATATGAGAGGCAAGTGTCATAATGGGTGGAAGCTTTGGAGACAGGAAGACCTGGGTTCGAGTTATGCCCTATACTGGCAGTATGATACTGGGCAAATCACTTAATCTCTGAATGCCGGTCACCACTCAGTGGGCACCCACTTTGGTTTACAGTTTGTTTTTTTGGCTAGGCAGTGGGGTTAAGTGACTTTCCCAGGGTCACATAGCTAGTAAGTATCAAGTATCTGAGGCTGGATTTGAACTCAGGTCCTCCTGACTCCAGGGCTGGTGCTCTATCCACTGCGCCACCTAGCTACTCCTGGTTTACACTTTTTAAACTTGCTTATGGGAAACTTTTCAGATCTTATCTCCCTCATCCAGTGTATTATTTGTCCCTCCTAGCTTTGTGTCATCAGCACATTTGCCTTCATCAAAATAATTGCTAAAGATATTGAACCGTCCCTGGCCCAGGAGAGACCTCCCTCTAAAGAGATGTGTAAAATGAGGGAGAGTGATCATTATGATTCAATGAATGCCTGACTCAGCAACCTCTAGCTGTCCTTGGAGGGGTGAAGGACTGGGTGTGGAATGCTTCTGTTCAGTCCGTCTCTTAATGACCGCATTTGGGGTTTTCTTGGCAGAGATACTGGAGGGGTTCGCCATTTCCTTCTCCAGCTCATTTTACTGGTGGGAAAACTGAGGCAGGGGGCAGCCAGGTGGCGTAGTGGATAGAGCACCGGCCCTGGATTCAAGAGGACCTGAGTTCAAATGTGACCTTGTAACACTTACTAGCTGTGTGACCCTGGGCAAGTCACTTAACCCCATTGCCTAGCCAAAAAAAACCCAGAAAACCCCAAACTGAGGCAGAGACAGGGTTAAGTGACTTGCCCAGGGTCATAGAGCTGGGAGGTGTCTGAATTGGGGTAAATGAGTCTTCCTGACTCCAGGCCTGGCGCTCTGTGCACTCTGGCGCCCCCTAGCGGCCCATGTAGTACTTGAAGGTTTGTGTTAACATATAGTAGTATATATGCTATCATTTGATCCTGTGAAGCAGGTGCTATTGTTATACCCATTATACAGAGGAGGAAGCTAAGAGCTCTAATTAGCCTAAAGTCACCCAGGTCAGCATCAGAGTCAGATCCAAAGCCAGGCCCCCGGACTCCAAATGCTGAATGCTGCCCTCTCCGGATTCTGGATTCTGGATCCTTAGCCGTTGGCCCCTTGGAGGCTGGTATCTGGAGGCTAACGCGTCCCCCTCTCCTTCTTTTCCAGGAGGATGGGCTGCCCCCGGGCGCCACAGCAGCCCGAAGGAATTTGATCAGCAGCATGTTCACCCTGACCACGGGCATCGTCCTCCTCCTGGGCCTCCTCTTTGCCTCGGTCTACATGTACAGGAACTATTTGATACCTCAGGTGAGTGCGCCTCATTCCCACCCCTCACCCCATCACAGATCGACATTCCTCAAACACAGATCCCTGAGCGTGTCAGCCCTCTCTTCAGATAGTTTCAATGGCTCCCTGTTGCCTCCAGGATCAAATATGAAACCCTCAACCCGAGATTGAAAACCTTCCCCAATCTGGGTCCCGCCCGTCACTTCGTAATTGCTCCCCTTTGCCGACTCTCTGCTTTGGTCAAGCTGGCCTGCTCAAGGTGCCCTCTGCAGAACAACACCCCATCTCTCACCTCCGTACCTTTGCCTAAGACATTGCCCTCCTCCCCACGTCTGGAATGAATGACCTTCTTCCTCTCTTCTACCTCATGGAATCCCTAGTTCACCTCAGAACACAATTCAGGTGCCCCTGGCCGCCTGGGACCTTCTTGACGGAAGCGGTCAAGTATCAAGCACCCACCACATGCCAGGTATCGTGCTGGGTGCAGGGGGTACGAGTACAAAGAATGAAACAGTCCCCACGTGGAAAGAGCTTTCGTTCCTAAATATCTAAATTACTAAACATCCCCTTGTATTCCTCTTTCCGGCCAGAATCATTCCATATAAAATAGATTTAAGAAGGAAAAAAAAAAGGCAGAAGAGAGGGAAAATCAACAAAACGGATCCATGCAATGGAAAAAAAATGAACCAGATGCCATGCTCCACACCCATGCATCCCCACCTCTAAAAGGAGGGGCTCTCAGATTTTGTCTTTTTCTTTAAAAATTTATGTATTTGTTTTTAGTTTTCAGCATTCACTTCCATAAGATTTTGAGTTCTAAATTTTTTCCTCTTCCAGCCCTCTCCCACTCTGATATACATTCATATTAAACCTATTTTCCCATTAGCCATGTTGTAAAGAAGGATTAGAACCCGTGGGAGGAACCATGAAAAGAAGAAATAAACAAACGAAAAAGAGAGAGAATAGAGTGCTTCGATTTGCATAGATTTTTGTCTTTATTTCCCCAAAGCGGCCTCTGAGTAAGTGCTTGTGGTATTGACACCTCCCAGGCTGCCTCGGGGTCTAGCTATGATAGATTGTGTCTGATTGATCACCAGGATCTGTGGGTGGGGAGCGTTTGGTGGGTGAAGGGCAAGGGGGAGGTATCTTGTTCTCTGGAGAGGAAGTGTTTGTCTCAATCCCCTCAGTGAGGCCTAGACCTGGTTTTCGGGTGTGTCTTCTCAAGCCTGGGAAAGAGGGGGCCGGTGTAAGTCCCAGACCACCTCGAGCTGATGTTCATTCAAATGAGTTTGCAAGAAGGAGGCAACCCCACAGACCCTCTCCCTTTTAGTGTGAACTCCCTGCTTCTCAGTGGGCATTTTCTCGAATTTGGAGGCTTCCTGACTTACAGTGGCTTTTCTCCTTTTCTCCCCCTTCCCCTTCGGGTCATGTTGGGGCAGGGATCCCAGGCTTTGCTGTCTCTTCTTCATTCTCCATTTCCCAAGAGCCAGGCATGACTCAGAGGGTTGTTCCCCATCAGACTTCCTCTTTGGAGACTTCAGCTCCCACCGCTGGCGTTCCCCTTCCATCTCAGCATAGAGACCCAGGGGAAGGAGGGAGGGAGATGGGGGTGGGCCCACATGAGCAGGTTGTGAAGACGAGGCCTCTGGAGCTCGAAGGCCAAAGACTGAAAAGGGGGATCCCACAGAATACTGAAGGGATGGGAGGAGGGGGTGTTCTCTTTACCTTCCCCAGCATTGGGTGCCATATAGTGGAAGGAGGACCCTTATTTAAAGTCAGAGGACCTGGGCTCCCTTCTGGGATTGCCTGTGTGGGTTGGATCAGTAACTCACACTGGGAACCTCCATTTACATCTCCCATAAATCAGGGGTGGTGATCAGTCAGCAAGCATTTATGAAGTGTTTTCCTGAGGGGCTGGGGGCAGAAATCCAAAGAACAAGCCCATCTCTAGGCCTAATTTCATTTTCATCCTCCTGATCCCTCCCAAGATCTCGCACCGGCCTCGGGAGAACGTGTTCCGCTGTGGGGTCCTCTATGAGGACTCGCTCTCTTCCCCCTTCCACAGCCATCTGGAGCTTCAAGAGAATGTGGAGATTTACGTCAAGGAGGATTATGAGCATATCAACATCCCCGTTCCCCAGTTTGGGGGTGGCGACCCAGCCGACATCATCCATGACTTCCAGCGGGTAAGGGCTTGGTGAGGCCGCTCTCCAGACGTCTGTGTGTAGAAAGGTGACCCGTTCTGGCCAGTCTGGTGATGTCATTCAAAGCCCAGCCCTTCTCATTCTTAGAGGCTGGTCACCAGAAGGGTGGCTGTTGGGAGAGGAGTGCTGTGTTAGATGGGATCCATATCAGATGAAATCACAAACGCAGCGCTGCATCTCTGTGGTTATATTCCCCAGCTTCAGAAGTCTCTGCCGGAGAGAGGATTAATAATGTTGCTGTAGCTTTAAGGAACAATGGAATCTTGCCATTATGGTTCAGCTAGCAGAGCTGGGGTCCACGCGTATGTCTGTAAAGAGTCTATTCTTGTGTTGTGTTTTCTCTCCATAGAAAAATATCGTAAAACAATGTGGCATAATAAAAAGACCAGTAGCCTGGTTCTAGGGTCTGCATGGCCATCAGTGGCTGTATTAACTTCTCTGAGCCTCAGTTTGCTTGTCTGGAAAATGAGACGATTGACTTGGGAGTGCCTATAGATCTGTATTCTGTTGTCCTAAGTAATTTCTCTAGGCCTCAGTTTTCTTGTCTGCAAAATGGAAGGGGTTAGACTTAAGGGTCTCGGAGCTCCCTTCCAGCTCTGACATTCTATGACCAATATATGTTTCAATAATGATAATAAGAGATGACATTTCTTTGTAAAAAAAAATTTATTATAAACTAGAAAATAATTTCCAAATGTGAATGTTTCCAAATGTGAATGTTACAAAACAGTAAGAAAAAAAGTGTTGTGTATGAAATTACGAGTCCAGCCTATGTGGCCTGTTTCTTGCCAAGGTGTATTAAATTTAATGTGGTTGCACCAGCCTTGCCCCGCTTGGCTGTGGTCCCCTGAGCTGCCTCTGACTTCCGTTCATGTATTTTTAAATGCTTCCTCGGTAAGCGCTGACATTTACAGTGAGGCCTGGAGGGTTTCCAAAGCACCTGAGAGACATGATCTCGTGTGAGCTGCTGTGCGATCATGGCATTGCAGAGAGGGTTGGGAGGGACTGGAGATTTGGATATCTGGGTAGTGAGCCTCTGGGAGGTTCAGAGGATTCTAAGAGCTTAGATATAGAGCTGGGAGGGCCATCGAAAGTCCTCTGGTCTTACTCCCTTGTTTTGCATGTGAGGAAAGTGTGGACCGGAGAGGTTCATGGGATCTTAGAACTGGAACAGGCTTGAGTGTCCATCTGGCCCAGCCCATTTCGCAGATGAGGAAACTGAGGCCTAGTGAGGTCAAATGAGCTGCCCAAGGTTACACAAGCAGTGAGCATGGTGGTGGGGAGGGATTGGTTTGATCCGAGGTGCTTTCCATTGTGGCACCAGTAGGTCCTAGCTCTTAAACACAATGTTTTTAGGCAGAAACCAGGCAAGACCTGAGGAGGGAGGAGTGGATTCCTCCTATCATCTCCATTCACCAATTGTCTTTGTCGTGTTGTGAACCTGAAGGAGGTGGAAAGGGCAATGGCCCAGACCCTAGAGGAGTGGATAAATGGTAGAGCCTGGAGAGGCTGGTGGTGGTGGGCCGTGACAGCCTCACCGTTGGCTGACTTTCTCCTGGTTCCAGGGCCTGACTGCCTACCATGACATTGCTTTGGACAAGTGTTACGTCATCGAGCTCAACACCACCATTGTGATGCCCCCAAGGAACCTCCTGGAGCTGCTGGTGAACGTGAAGGTGGGTGCGGACCCCTCCCTCTCCCTCCCAGCTGCCAGGGGTAATGCTAGTGTGGATCTGAGTACATCACTGGCCTCCAAGGAGGCCCAGTGGTCCCCCTGTCCCTAAGCGCCTGCTGGGCGGTTCAAGCCCTCCCCATCAGGCGCCAGTCTGACCCTGCAGACCTATCACCTCCCTTCATACGCCGCACACTCCAGCCAGACCTATCTGTCGTCTGTTCTCCGCCTGGTATTGTATCTCTAGCCTCCCAACCTTGGCTCAGGCCATCGCCCTGGGACCTAAGGTTTTCCCACTCTTCCTGCCGGTGGACTTCCTACCTCTGTTTAGATCTCTGTTCCAACACCACCTCTTACATGAAGCTTCTTTTAGTGTCCCCGTGGCTTGTACCCTTTCCTCGCCTTCCACCCAGAACTTTGGAGATATGTCGTATTGACTTGGCTGGGTTCACAGAGTTTCCTCCATAGAATGTAAGCTTCTGGAGGGCAGGGAATCTTTTTTTTCGCACGTGAACGGGGACTGAATTATGGTTCATTGAAACGAATTGAATTGAAGTCCGTGGCCCATTCGGGAGCCTGGCTTGGCGGGTTGATGCTTGTGTGTGGCTCCTGTTTCAGAAGGGGACCTACCTGCCCCAGACGTACATCATCCAGGAGGAGATGATCGTCACCGAGCACGTCAGCGACATGCAGCAGCTGGGCTCCTTCATCTACCGCCTGTGCAGCGGCAAAGACACCTACAGACTGCGGCGTCGCACCACGAGGAGACGTAAGAGACGGCGCCAGCCCCGCCCCCGGGCCCTGCCACTGCCTCTGAGGGCTGGCTCAGGCTTCCTCCTTCACCTCACCATCCGCCATCACGCGGGCGAGATGCCTGCTGCAAGTGGGGCATTGAGCCATCTTCCTTGACACCTGAGGGAGCAAAGAGCCTGGACTCTGTTTTCCCAAGGGCGGGGTCGCTCATAGTCTCATAGATCTAGGATACTTTAGAGGGCATGGAGTCCAACCCCTCATTTTACAGATGGGGAAACTGAGGCCCAGAGAGGACAAGTTTACTTCAAAGTCAAACAAAGAGTAAGAGCTCCAGAGCTAGGCTTCACACGCCGACTCCAAATCCGTTCTGCCTAGTATCCCCAACTGGAGACCGTATGATAGGAGACAGAAGAGACAAAGAGAGTTGTGCAGATTCATGTGTCCTCCCTCTTGCCCCTTGGTTTAGCTTCAGGGCTCCTCTACCCAAGGATCCCACCTGCCTCTGGGACAGAGGGAGCCAGGCAGGGCGAGATGCCCGCCTTTATGCCATCCCCCCTAGTCAGGGAGGTTTCCCAATACTTTGAACTTTTCCTCATTCATTTCGCTGCTGTGAAAATCATGCAGCCTCTCGTTGGTACTCACCTGACTTCTTACTGGGCCCCAGCCTGGCTGGCCCAGCCCTTGTCTGTCCCTGCTGGCCTTGAGCCTCCGTCTCCTTGGGCACCGACAGGCCGAGGGGACCGAGGTCTCTCAGCAGCGCTCAGTGCGGTTCGTGGTCCCAACCTTTCCCTGTAGCTCATCAGACTTTCTCTGTGTGTGTGCTCCTTTCAGGCATTAACAGGAGGAGTGCTGGAAATTGCCACGCTATCCGACACTTTGAGAACACGTTTGTGGTGGAGACAGTGATCTGCGAGCAGTAGCGGCCCTCTCCCTTCTGGCCTCTCCTTCCCTTCCCTGCGGCTGGCCTCCGTCCCGCCCCTTCCCCTCTCTCCCTCTTCCCTTCCTCCTCCTCTCCCTCCCTAGGCCGCTTCGCTTCTCCCTGGGAAAGCCTTCCTGTAGACTTTGTCCTGCTCCAGACTTTTCTTTGCCTCTCCTGCCTGTGCTGTAGCCCCCTGGGATCCCCCTCCATCTCCCCTGTATCTCTTAGCAGTGCCTGACAGTAGCTTTGGGGCTGGGGGGGACAGTCTTGATCTTGGGATTACATTTATGTGTTGACTTGGAAACAGAAGTTCAGTAGGACCCATGCGTTGGGTTTCAGTGGCTGGAGATTAGGAGGGGTCATGGGATGGTCAGTCTGGACCTAGGAAGTCATTGTCAAGCTAGAGTGAGAAGTCTTTGAATCTGAGCTCCTCCTTTGACAGTTGGAGAAACTGAGACTAGAGAAGGCCAGCTCAGGGTAACACAGCTGAGCTGGAATTTGAACTCAGGTCTTCTAACTGTGAAGGCAGTATGCTTCCCAAAGGTAGGGGTTACCGCTCTCTTCCTGGGAGTGTGGGAAGGCCTTGGCCTGGGGTTCTACCATCTTGGGGGTGGGGGTAGAGGATGGGGAACAGGGGGCAGGGCCACCTAATAGTTGGCCCAGATAAAGAGCACAAAGTGAGACTGATGCCCCAGCACATTTCTGCCTGGCGCCCTGTGGGTGGAGAGGGAGGGAGGGAGGGAGGGAGGGTTGGTTGTTCTCAGGGAAGGAGAAGTTGGAGAACCAGGTGAGTACAATCTGTCCATGTAGCGGAACCAAAAAAAAAATGCGAGTGGGGCCAGTCACCCAAGGCCAAAGTCACCCAGTGCTGCTGATAACAGTAGCGGGCAGATGGGCAGAGAGTCCCTTGGCTGTTCCGTTGATGCAGGAAGCAAAGGACTGGAACTCCCAGGCTGGGCAGGGGATGGCAGGGTCATTAGCTCATCCAAGCACATGGGGTAGGTGGGTGGGTGGGGCACCACTGGGATTAGGGAGCCTGTGGGCACACACCCTGGAGCCCACCTGAGTGGGAGCCTCTTCTGAAGAGGGAGCTAGGGTCAGAATCAGCCATTCATCGTCAGATTTAGGGTGAGGACCTAATCCTAGGATTTAGACCATCTGATTCTGTCCCTTGGTTTTACAAAGTGGGCAGAGGGGGCTTTGAACCCAGGCCCTAGGGCCCCACATCCAAAGCACTGAGCCTTGCTTCAGGTATGGCAGGACGCGCCTTAGGGTTAGGTTGGAGTTGTTAGCTCCTCCAGAATTAGAGCTGGTGTTTAAAAAGGGAGGGGCAAGGGTGAGGGTGTGGGGTGGGGGTGGGGGGATAGGATCCAGTCCAGGTTTGAATTTGGGAAGGCCCTGGGAGAAAAGGCCAGAATGAGCTGGTACATTTATACCCAGCCTCCTCCTTGCTTTTAGGAATTCTCCTTTTTCCCTCCTCCCTCCTCCCTCTAACCTTCCCTTCCTCCCCACCCCCACAGCCCCTGGCCTTGGGCTTGGGGCAGATATAAAATGTGTCCTTGTCCTTGACTTTGCATGATTTCCCTGGTCATTTAATATGCTAACAATGTGCAGCCTGAAACCTTAATTAACAAAAGGACCTTGGTTGTTTCCCCTGCATTAATCCAAGGGTCCAGCCCTCGCTGCCCGGCAGCTCCCCCTCCTGGGATGGGACTCCAGATGCTTTGTATATTTCATGTGTTAGATTCCTGTTTTGGGAAATGCCCATGAAAGAATAAAATCCTTGACCTCTGACTTGTGGTGTGAGATGGGGCTGGTGAGGGGGTGCTTCTTTTCCATCAGTGTCCGGACCCCATCAATGTGCTTTCTGTGGGCCAGGCAAGCGAAGGACGGACAGGGCTGGGGTTACTTGGGGCCTCGACCCAGAGGAAATGATCATGGAGACTTCCTTCCCCCTGGCCGTGGATGAGACGCGGGGCCACAGCTTTGGAGTGAGAAAGGATTGGAGAGGGGATGTCCAGTTCAGCCCCCTCGTTTTAAGGAAACTGAGGCTCAGAAACGTGACTTGCCCAGGGCCACGCGGGTAGTAAGTGGCCAAACCCCAGATCTCAACCCAGATCACCTCCGAATACACTGTCTTCTGTCCCATCGCGATGAGAGAAATGGTTTCTCTTCTGCGAGGACCATCTTCCTGAAATGGAAGTCTCCCCATGTCTCAGAGGGGCTCCTTATCACCTGCCAGTTCCAGCCTGAACTTCCAGGCTTCTGACCCACAACTCCTGGGTCCTGCTCTTGCCTTTAACCAAGGGTGGGCTATCCACTGTGCCCTCTCAGGCCTGGAATGTCTTCCTTCCTCAGTCTTTGCTCAGATGCCCCCTACCCCTCTCTCTCTCCTCAGATGACTGCATTATTTTCACATATTGTAGCCTTTCTTCCCCCCACCTCCACTCCCAGTAGAGGGCCCTTGGCCTCGGACCTCCCTGGGTTCAATTCCCCACTCAAGATACATCTTGCCTGGGTGACCCTGGGCAAGTCACTTCTTCATGCCTCAGTTTCCACATCTGTAAGATGAGAGGGTTTCAAGCTCTCCACCATTTAAAGCCACGATCCTCTGTTCTTTAGCCATCTCCTGCAGGTCTCAGATTCATTTGGATGCAGATATGTCCACGCTCAGTTATGCATTCATGCTCACACCCCAGTTCCAAGGTAATTAGGAAGCTTTCTGGTTAGAAGAGTCCAATTCACCCTGAATCACTTTCTGTACCCTGGCTTGGGTCGGGATGCTGATAATTACCAGACTGCTGCCATTTTGTGATATGTAATTGTGCCAGAGGATTCATCGGAGTTAGAGCCAGAAGCTTCCCTCAAGGGCATCTGGCCCGTCCTGCTCATTTCTCAAGGTCACCCAAGTAGAGAGAGACTGGTGCACAGATGGCAAGAGGGTGCTGGTTTAGACTCAGCCCTGCCACTGACTGTCATAAAGACAGACCTTTGATCAGTGCCTGGGGTCAAAGGCCCTGAGTTCAAATCCCACCCGCCACTGATTCCCTGTGTGGCCTTAAGCAATCACTTAACCTCTCTGGGGCTCTGAGGTCTCTGATCTTCATCACATTGGACAAGGGGAGACCTGCCAGTAGGGAAGATGAACGCACTGTCCCTCCATCAGAGCCAGGAGTGGGTTGGCCTAGCCCCGATGGCGTTGAGGATGGGGAGGAAAGAGTCAAGGGCCTAGGGCTTAGGGGTAACTGACACCAGTCCTACCTCCCCCAGAAAGCTCCCTGTGGGCATAGCCAGTCCTTACCGACCTTCTCTGAAATCCTCAGTCTGGACCCCCATGTACCCCCATGTACACTTGGCATCTTGGCCCCTGGAATTTGCTTCAGCTCTGACACCAGGCTGTTTATTCCTAAAGGCCAGGCTGAGGTCTTTACATCTCAGCCCTGCACATAGCTACCATAAGTGTAAGTGAGGCCTCTCTGACCTGACTGGGTGAAGGAAGTCAGACGTTAGCTGAGGGAAGACAAACTGATTAGAGACATGGAGAGCTGTATACAGAATCTGGAAGACCTGGATTCGAATCCTGACTCTGACGTGTTGTAGCTGAATTAATCGCTCTGTACCTATCTTTTCCTATCTAAAATGAGGGAATTATACTCTAAGGCCCCTTCCAAGTTTAAAACCACGATCCTATAATTCACACCAAAATGTGAGTGGCTAATAAGGGCTTAAAGTTGTTTCCTTCTATAACCTGCAAGCTGTTTTAAACAAGCCTACAAGGGGCACCCCAAGGAATGAATATCTAACGGTAGAGTTTCAGGTACCAAAGCTTGCTGCCAGGGCCCACTTCGGCATCGCCTAAATCACACTGTTTAGGGCAGGTGCCTAAGCAGCATAGGGCTGATTCTACCGTTTGATGTCCTTCCATAAAGGCAATCCAGGGGGCAGGGAAGAGAAAACTAGCCTGGAACTATGGAGACCTGGGTTTTAGCCCTGGTGCTCACCACAAGGGTAAATCTGAAATTGCTCTGTGCCTCAGTTTCCCCTCATTTTGGAGAGGCTAAAATTCTTACATGCCATTCTCCTACACAGAGAAGAGGGGAATGACAAATTTTGTGTCGACAATTTGGACAAGATCCATGAGATCAAGGTTTGGAAACGAGGGAAAAAAGTCATGGCCCTCTTTCCGTTTGGGTGGGACAGCCCACAGCCTGACTCCATCCACATTCTGGGTTGCTTTTTGACCTTAGCCCTTCCCTGGAGTCTTTATTTCCAGGAGGAATTTCCACTAGGGCATGGAGGATGGTGCTTATTCTGGGCCGGCTAGGGACTGACCTGCCCAATGAACAATGGCTCACAGAGGCGCAAAGATGCACCTTCTGACTTATCTCTACTGTGATAAAGATGAGTGCCCATTTTCTCTTTGAACTCCTCCTGTCTCCAGGCTGCACCGTCAGTTTGTAAACCTCTGCCTCGTCTGTGTCTCAGCTCTAAAAACCATTTTCTGTCACTGGGAAAGAAAGATAACTCAGTCACCCATTCTTTCAGTTCCTTCTGGCCTAATTCATCTTTTCACAGCCAACAGAACCCTCCCCCTCCCCTGCTTTTCTTCCTTGGGGTATGTGATGCTACTACCTCCATTGCCCTAATTCTCTCTAAGCTTTTTAGGGGGTGAGTGACAGATACCAGGATTCACTCAACCTTCCACATCTGCATTTCCTAAAGCACCCACACCTTTTGCAGCTCAACCCCAAAGGGTAAACAAATGGCGTTGTACATACGTGAGGGAAAGGCGAGAGGATGTCTTACCCTCTCCTCTCTCCCCCTCTTCTGATGCTTGTCCTCTGCCTTTCTCCCAGGCTACCCTTTGGTCTCTTTAGCCCTGGGGTCTTCCCTGAGAAAAGAACGCCTGTTGGAGGCTGGGGTTTGGGCTAGAGGAAAAAAAAACTCTGGAAAATTTCAGTTTATAAAATAAATATGAAACTCTGGAGTCTCCTGCAAGTATTGCCATGGAAACGAGAGCCTGGGCCGTCACCATGGAAACGGGGAGGGGGTTGTCACTGCTTGAAAGAGTTACCAGCCACTGCTGTGGGAGGCTTCGTTCTCCAAGGAAGCCTTTGTCTCCCCGGCTTCCCACATGACGCTTGGTCCAGGGCTCTTCACTCTGCAGGGGATTAGGGAACGTGGCTTAGCCTTAAGAGGAGACTTCCGTTGCTAGCCAGCTTGTCTCGGGTAGGAGGGGAGAGAGGGGGTACCCATCAGCAGACCCTTTCCTCCTTCTGAATGAACCCATTTATCAATCATTGAACCTTTACTGAGCACCTACTATGTGCGCAGCCTTGGGCACGGCGTCCCTTGAGAGCTGAAATCAGTCCCTCTTTAAGTATTTATTAAACACCCACTCTATGCATGGCACAGTTCCTGCCTTCAAAGGGCTTACCTTCTGGTAGAGGGAGAGGGAAGACAGTACACACGAAGATAAGCAAATACAATGTATATGTCAATCACTCAATCATTTATTCCTTGCCTATATTCCAAATGTTGGTCAGCTAGGTGGTACAATGGATAGAACACCAGGCCTGGAGTCAGGAGGACCTGAGTTCAAATCCAGCCTCATACACTTACTAGCTGTGTGACCCTGGGCAAGTCACTTTAATTCTGTTTGCCTCAGTTTCCTCTTCTGTCAAATGAACTGCAGAAGGAAATGTATCCAATACCTCTGCCAAGAAAATCCCAAATGGGGTCACAAACAGTTGGGCATACCTGAAAATGAGTAAGCAACAACTTACTCCAGACACTGAGGATAAAGACAAAAAGCAAAAATCCCTGACCACAAGGAGCTCCTAGTCTATTGGGGATACAACATGTACATATATTATTATACATACAAAATGGTTGTACGAGGAAATCTGGGGGGCAGCGCTAGAACTTAGGGGGATGGAAAAGGGGCTTCCTGAAGGAGGAGGCATTTGAACTGAGCCCTGAAGTAAGAATGATGGGCTGGACAGTGGGGAACACCACAGCCATAGGGAGCATCCAGGGAAAGATGATGATAATGTATCACCTCTTAGACTAATTAGCTCATAGCGGTAAAAATAATGCCTCCTCTGGTCCATGTGGCTCTGATGACTTAGAGAGTTTCTATTAGATTCAAAATGAGGACAATCCCAATTGTTTTGGAAAATCCCACTCTTAGGCAGTTTTCTTCCGCGGCCTGCATTCCCTGGCTGCCCCTGTGCTGCTGGTACTTTCTGGCCCAGCTTTGGACATCCCTCCTCCTTCCTCTCCTACACCAGAACCTCAGAATCTCTCCCTGGTCCTGGACTTGCTGCTGTTTTCATACAGGCTCCCCAGCCTGTGACTAAGCCCCCCGTCCAATAAGAGCAGGCTTCTTGTCCCACCTAGTTCTGATTGATTCAGTCCAGGAGTGTTTCCACCTCACCAAGTAGGATGGGACAATCAGCCATCCAGGGGCACCTCCGTCCCAGTAAAAGTAGCTGACGTGGTTATTTAAGGTTTGGAAAGCACGTCCTGTGTACTATCTCACCATAAAATCTCTGAGGCAAGTGATAAGAATACTACCCATTTCACACAAGAGGAAACCGATCAAATGGCGGACCTACTCTGCCAGCCAAGGTCTGTTGGGAAGGAGCTGTGGTGGGTGCCATCTTTGTATTCCCATGGTCTTCCTGTCTGCTCCAAGGAAGGCAATGACCTTAAAGATCTTTAGGTCTCAGAGTCCTATCAGAAAGTGGGGGCAGCAGGGGAAAAGGCTAGACTCCAAGGGCCAAAAATGT